TGTTATATATTCAAATTATTTAACAAATTTATGAAGAGTCACTAATTATACTAAAAAGAAATTAAAATTGTATATGTCTCTTCTAACCATCAGCAAACAAGGAAATAAATAAGCAATCCTATAAGCAAAATTGAATGTGAAGTAAAAATAATTCTTTTTAAATTCTAGAATGAAGGGCCAGCTAGATAGCTTAATGGACTAAAGTGCCTACTTAGGAAGACATAGGGACCAGGTTTGATCCCCCAGCATGCCTGTTGACCCATCCCTGTGGCACGCTAAGGCAGTGCTTAGGAGGCTGCAAATAGGAAGATCACTATGAGTCCAATCTGTGTAGTGAGACCCTGTAGACCCTGTACTAAATACATTAAAAAAATAAATAAATTCTAAAATGACATCTTAATGAATATACATTATGGAAATTCCTATTATGACAGCAATAAAATTTTATCAGATACTGTATTATATAATCTGTAAAATTCCATAAATGAAACAATATAAACAAAATCCTATAATGGATATGATTTATAATACTCAATATAAACTATATCTGAAATTTCTTACAAAAAAAAAAAAAAAACCAAAACATGAAACCTAGTGGGGACAATGCAGAGCAGGGGAATAATATGTCAGCCCTATAAGAAAAATATATAAATGCATGAAAAAAGGCAACCTAATCAATATTTAAACACACAGGAAATTTATTTTTTTAACACAGGAAATTTAAGATCCTCTGCATAATGAAAATGATAAACCTTTAAAGCCATTTTTATTACCTCTAATCATTAGTTCTTGATATTCTGAGAGGTCTAGAAAACCAAAGAAATAGTCCCACTCCCAATTTCTCTAACAATTAGATTTGGCCAAGTGACACTATTTTCATTAAGTTATGAGCACAAGCCTTCTAAGGAAATACACAGCGTTGTGCCAACAGAACTCTGCATTGTACCCTGAACGAGATGGGTTGTTCCACACACACCTCCTACTTCCCTTATTCACTTTTCTTCATGAAGCTGGAACATAGGGCACCTCTGCTTACCTCTGGAGCATTAAACGAGAGAAAAATAATCTAGAGTTGACTTCTCTGTGAGGAGGAGTGCAAACATTGAACATGCAACCAGATGTGAAGCAATGGTGCTGAGCATGAACAACTCTTTTACTGGACATTATTTCCTAAACAATAAAGCACATTAATTGTTTCCATAGCATTTATAGTGTATTAGGTATAAACAGTAATCTAGAAATAAGAGGATGTGTGTAAGCTATGTGCCAATTCCAGTACACTCACTCTAATGGGTGAGAACAACACTATTAGTACAGTTGTTGGACTGTACAATGTGTAACATATTTGCTTTGAATTGACATAAAAATTTGCACAATTTTTAAGAAAATATTTTACAAACATTAATCAATGTAGATGATAATGTAGATTATAGGAAACCTATTGTGGTAAAAATCATGATGACTAAGTAGAGCAATATTCAAAACATTGTGTTCACAGTTTAACAGAATATTTTAAAAATAAAATACCAAAACAGATCATTAAAAACTAGATGGCACATACCTGTACAGGCAAATATAATTACAAAATCTCCAATTTTTGAAAATGTGAATTTTTAAAAACTTTTTATATACACTAGACCCCTCAGATGCTTTTAAAATGAAAAGCATGTAAGTCTGTGCTTCTAAATGAAAGATTTGAGTAATATAGGAAATTACTAATATGTTTATCTCCAAATGGTAGATGTTATGGCTTGTGTGTAGGTGCTCCCCAAAGCCTCATGCAGTCGGGGCCAGGGAGATGGCTCGGTAGAATAAGTGCTTCCCTGGCAAGTGCAAGGGCCTGAGTTCAATCCCCGGTTCTGGAAAAAAAAAAAAAGCCTCCTGCAGTCATAGGTGGGATTTTCTCAGAAGTGGCTGGATCCACACTGCGTAATGCTCAGATACATTCTTGGCGCAATGCTAGGATCAAGGGCTCTAGGATTAAGGGTGTGAGTGCTGCCCACACTAAGTAGCCTTCATAAGGCATAAGGGGAAGAAAGAGTGTGGTTGGCCCTTGCTGCTTTGCTTCCCTCTTCCCACCATTCGTTTCTCGTCTGTGACACCCCCCTATATGTCATGCCACCATGGCTTGGAGCCATCTGATTACAGTCTGAAACTTCTACATAACTGTAGAATAAATAAAATATATAATAAATAAAAAAGTAAACTTTTGTCCTTTAACTTTGAGAGTCAGCTATTTTGTCTCAGCTATGAGAGAAGTAACTAAGTCCATGTAACTAGGTAACTAGAGCTGTAAGTCACTGCTTCATCTGTTAATTCTTCCTATTGTTTTACTCTACAACCTGCTGAACTATTTTGAAAATCAATTAAAATAATTATTTACAGCCCTGGTCCAGCTGAATAGAAATAGAAAAGTTGTTAAAAATTTTTCATGTTCATATTTCTAGCTTATTTTTACTGTCTAACTTAGTCCATAGTCATGGAATCATTAATATACCTATCAAAAGTATGCTATAGAAAAATATATCATACAAGTAATCTTACTCAGAGTGAAAATACTTCATTACAGCTTTCCCAAGAGATGACATACGATACAATACAGAAGCTTACTTTTAAATATTTATGGTGGGCATATAAACTTTAAGAAAAACACAGTTTCCCTTTTCTGATGTAATATTTGGAAGAGAAAAATTTCAAAATCTTAGTCTTTTAAAATATTAACCTAAGACAGAGAAAATTAAATAAAAACAATTTTATATCTAACATGATAACATGATATATGTGTATAAATATAATATTTTAGAATAAAACATTTGAAATTATAGTGGACATTTTAAATTGATAGTTACCCAATGTTAGAGAAAATTTACAGCTCAGAAAGGAATAGCTAAGGAGTATAAATTTACATTATTTTGTAATAAGAGTGAGTTAAAAGTATATTATTTTTTTCTAAAAAACAAACCTTTACACTTTTACCTTAAATAGTACATCATTTTATTTTCTTGTGTTTAGACAATAAATTTTAATCATCATATAAATTTTATGTATGCCTTTAAAATTATATACAATGCTTCTCTACTTAAGAATTTACATGCTAGGTATATATCTTTTAGCAGACACAAATTATTGTAAAACACAAATTAAAACCATTCCGTTTAAGATGCTGGAAGTATATGCAGTGAAAATAAATGTCTTTTAGTCAGCCAAATCAGCTTAACAAGAATTTATTGAATACCTTATATGCATCCAGTCAAACACTAGCTATTCAGGATATAGACTACATAGGAGGTTTGACTTCCCTAGAACACTAGAACAGTGTTTCACTGAATAAATATTCATTGTACAAATGCACATATTTCACTGTATAAATAAATTCTTTACAATTACACTATCATGAGTCACATTGATTGAAGAACTGAGAGCCTTACTGAAGAACAAGAGACCCACAAATTTGGAACAATTAGGAACTGGTTCAAAATAATTTATAGCCAAGTGATAGCATGAATTATATACATTGTTACCTAATTAATGAAAAGGAGAAATTAGTTTATGAAGGGAGAAAATCTCATCAAGCACATGAACTTAGGCTAACAGCATAAGGGAGAGAATGATGTTGGGTAAAGACTGATGAACATAGCTGGAGAAGAACATGAAAGGAGTGGCCTAAAGGCGGTGTGGCCAGGATGCATGGAGGCAAAGGAGGCAGGCTTGGGTACTTCAGAATTTAGAACAGCAAGGAATGAAAAGCCTAATAAAAGTCACATATATTATTTTTATCATGTCCTAGATAAGTCTGTACTAATAATTTGAACTGTAATATTATATCAAAGCCATGGAGGTAGATGCAAATAAATCCTAGAAATGGCAGCCTTACTTAACGAACAACAGGAAGGGAGAGTGAATAGACAATCTGATCAGAGAAATGAAACATGACTGATAAAAAGAGGTAAGTCCATAACTGAAAAATATAACAAATGCAAAAAAAAGCCACGTTTAAATTTGATTGAAGTTTTAAGAAAGAAAAAAAGAGATTGGAAAGTTATTAGTTTCCTGTAATGAAGAAAAAATTATTAAGCATACAGTCATATATTAAAATGTTTTCCTGCATTCAAAATTTTTACAATAGCTTTTTCTAGACTACTGATGGTCAAGAGTTCTTTCTAACAAAAGATGGCCAAGGTGATGGAATATCACTTCTGTGGTTAGGGTACAGAAGTCTGTAACATGCATCACACCAGAAGATTTTTCCTTCTTGGCTTTGATAAAAACAAGTTGTCACATTAGGTACATCAGGGCAGTTTATTCGTCAAGAAATTGAAGCCACCCCCTGCCAGTGGTCATCTAGAAACCAAACCTGTCAAGTCTTTAGAGGAACCGTTATTCCTGGATGACATCTGGATTATAACCCTGTGAAATCCTCTGGGAAGGAAATTCTCGCCACACTCTGTGATTATTGGAAAAAGAATGTTGTGATGTCAAACTTGAATTGTTTTGTTTTTTCTTCTGGTGATTCATACAATTTCTACCAACCACTAAAATTATACTCTGTGTAGCTTCCTCTCCCACACTGACCCCCATGGTTTATGACATCAGTGGGGGAAATAAGACATTCCCTCCTCTTCTCCATGGTATTAGCAGCAGGTAAAGTCAATGCTGGTCAATGTCACCATTTGCTGTTTTGATCATTGTATTGGTTGATACATTGTGTCAACTTGGGAAGTTTAGGAGTTTAATTAAGTGACTCATCAGGGAGCTAGTGTTCTTACTCTATAAACATCCTCAACCTGTGCAAGAGGAGGGCATGCACATTGTGTACACACCCACTCCAGGGTAGCTTGCTTGCAACATAGGGAAGGGAGAGATGCTGGCTAGAAGCCACAGCTGCTGCCCTTCTCTGCTCTTTGCTGATTTCTGCTGCCATGAGCTGCTGCTCTCTGCCATGTGCCACTCTGCTTGGGAGCTATCTGAATATAGACCGAAACTTTCACAAACTGTAAGCTAAATAAACCTTTCCTTACTGAATTTTGAGTGTCATCCTCATGCAGGGTCCATGCTAATCTTCTCTGCATCCTTTGTTCTAGTATATGTGATGCCGAAGCGAGCGCCTCACTCTGTTCTCAAAACCTAAGTTTTCATACTTGAAAACTGCTGCAGCTGTAATGGCCTTGAGTTTTGTTTTTGTCCCAGCAATAATGAGTGAAAAGTAACTTGAGACAATAACCCAGTTTAGCGGGTCTCCAGAACTTCCATCTTCCCACAGGCGCAGGACTAGAGTTGTTTTCTATTCACTCAAATTGCTTTCTAAATTACTCAGTCTGGAGAAGCCTCCATGATGAATTGGAAAAGAAAGCATGTGGGAAAATTCATGATAAATTCAAAGATAGGACTAAAGCAACCAATCCCTTCTATTTAGGACTTCTATGCATCAGTCTGGGACTTAAATTGCAAACAGTTACAGTGCAATTAGCTCACAGGATATGAACATTTTATATTAATAAATGATTTGGATCTTCAAGTGTTGGAAAACATTTTTCATAAGCTCACCACAAAGTTTTACCCAAATATGATAATGATAAAAAGTGGGCCTTGTTAGCACTAGGAAAACACCATATCACTGTAGCACACCTGTCTTGAAGCAACTAATGTTTGTGAGCCCTTATTACATGCCACATCTACATATATTCAGTCATTTGATTCCTATAACATATATAAAAGTTCTATTATCTCAAAGTTATACATGGAGAAAGAGGCACAGAAGTTAACACTGCCTAGGCTTCCAACCTAGGTTACCAACATGGGCAGTTTAATTTCAGAGTCCTTGTACTCAATCGATAATAAGCACTGATTACCTTTTCCACAGGTAAAGCTATTCACAATGTAAATTCACAGTCTATTTACATTACTGAAACTTAAGCATTGAGGGCTTGAAGATTTTAAGTATTGCTTCAAATATTATGATCTCTCATATGTGTTGTAAATATGATGACAAAAAGAACATCTTGAGAAGTTCTAAAACCAAAGATTCATCTACTCAAACAGTGAAATTCAAATAAACAAATATTTATAGTCTTCATTTCTATGAGATTTCTCCTTCAGCTTATTAGTAGTGACTCTTGCCAGAGTTATCCTTGAAAAGAAATACCCAACCCGCTCCTCGCTCATGGCTTGAATGCCAGTCAGGATTGCTGTGTCAGCATTTTCCAACTACCCTACTTAGAGTTTTTCTATTCTTGTTTCTCATTCTTTAATAACAAGAGTGGTTTTATTAAAGCATAAATCAGATCATCTTCAGAGTTCTCCAAGGACATCTAAAAGTAACTCACATGATTGAAAAAGTTACACTATGACCTAAAGCTCCCTGAAGCACCACCTCCTCCCCCACTCTGTTCTTTAAAAAAAAAAATACAGAACGCATCACGAATTTGCGTGTAGTCCTCGGAGCATGCTAATCTTCTCTGCATCGTTTCAATTTTAGTATATGTGCTGCCGAAGCGAGCACCTCACTCTGTACTTAAAACCTAACATTCCAAACTTAAAAACTGCTGCAGCTGTAATAGCCTTGAGGTTCATCTTTGGTCACACTAGGCTTATCTGCTATCAGGGCCTTGGCACACGCTATTAGCTACTACTGGAATGTTCTATCCTTATAGCATCGCATGTCTATTTCCTTTACATACTTAAATCTCACCCTCAATTACACCCTGAGAATATTGTATCTTCTCTGTGATTTATTTTCTTCACAGTATTTAATTCATTCTGTCTTATTAGGTTCTTCAGAAAATAACTTTATCTAACTTATTATTCTAATTCCCAGCCTTAGAGAAAAGCCTAACTTCTAGGAATTGTTCAATGTATTATTGTTGGGAGACTCATTCAGTGAGTGAGTGAATGAAGGAATCAGTGAATGACATAGAGAGCAGGATTTTTTGTTGTTCTTGTTGGAGGGCTCGAGATTCTGAATAAAGTAAGATGCAATGTCAGTCCTAAACTCTAGAGATCTATCTTAACTTTTCTTTTCAAGAAAGTAAAATATGACTGGAAAAATGAAAATCAGAAGTTAAACCAGTGGTATGTATTGGGAAAAGTCTTTGGGAAGGAATGTGAAAATCAAGGCCCAGAGTTCAGAGGGAGCTGAAATCTCCAGAGGCACAGGAAGAAGAGTAGTTTGATTGTTGGAGAAACATGCACAAAGAGACCAGAAGTGAGGCTTCAGATGAAAAGTAACCAGGAACCTAAGACTGCAGACACAGCTCTTATTAGGACCTTACCATGACAGAAGATACAGATCTAAAATTTTAGAGGAAGAACTTTGAATGATTTTAAATATAGCAATGATATAATCACATTAAATAGTGTCCAAAGCTTAAACCTAAATTGAATCAGATAGTAAAAAGGACAAATATAGCTCTATGAGCTGATAGTTTCTATTGAACTTGTGGGTGCTTATTGGTGAATGGCAGCTTCTTAGAAACCAGCATAACAGTGAGTCTACAATTTATAATGTGTTGCTAAGAGAGAAGATACGACGCTTGTCAAAGAGGTCAGTGGTAGGTCAAATAGCATTCTTCCTTTATGCCTCTATATATTTTTTCTTTAAATTTTTTAATCACTTTATTGAGAAACAAATAGCTATGAGACAGTTTCAAAACCAATTAATAGGACACTTTCAATAATTAATAAATTGCATATTGTTATCTTCATAGTGGTTATTCATTGTATAAGATACAGACTTGATATCCTGTCTAAACACTGTTAGTACAAATCTTTCTTCTCATTGAATTAAGAGAAAGTAGCTGTATATCTATCCTATTTTGTATATGCACATACAAAATGGTCCTTCATTTGTATTCCCTTTTTTGTTTAGTTTTGTCAGAGAAGGGTATTATATTGCCAGTCAAATATTGTAGGGGCATGAATTCAACAAAATAATCCAATATAGTCCAGTAGCCCATAATAGTAGTAGGTTAACAGTAGACTGCCAATGTCAGAAGTTGCTGACTTGAACCATTTACAGCTCAGCATATTAATATGGCTTTACTTTTCATACATTGTTATTATACTTTTCTGCTGGATGGTTAAGACCAAGATAAAGAAAGACCTATACAACAAGAAGTATAACTTTTGTATCTGACAAGTTCAGTTAAATCCCTTCAGGATTTATCCTGAAACCCTGTACTATACTTTGTAGATCTTTTGTCAGTGTCAGCCGTGTGGATGAGTCATGGCCATTGCTTGACCAATTTGCTCTCTGTGAAAGCCTGAGAGAATGTATTCTGTCCATGTGACTTTCCTTAGGCATACTGTACATCATCAATCACTTTCCTCTCTAGCCCCATAATCTGCTTGATCAGAAAATTTGGGACATCACTGAGTTACAGGATGTTACAGTACAGGTTAAATTATGCCCTGAGTCCTCACTGAACTTGAAGGGCTAGGGAAAAAATGTTGGCTTTCCTTGAAGCCCTTCTTTTTCTCTAGCTTTTGGTCTACAAATGTAAGTTGTTTACCCTCCTGAAGAGAAGCTTAATGATATTATTACCCTATAACATAGGCAGTTGAACTTAACCTCACTTTCTATCTCATTATCAAACATCTTAGACATAGCAAGGAACAGGTATTTTCCATCAAGTATTGATATGTTAAACTATAAATCGCTACAGAATGTGAAGAAAAAAATAAAAAATAATTAAAAATATTTTTAAAAATTGGAATAAACAATTATGTAGTTTTACACAAAAATTTAGAAATCTATCCATATACAGCATTGTAGCAGGTCAGTCCTATAACATTTTTTTCTTATCACTTGTTTTCATTTATTACCCATTTTTTTAAAACAAAGATTTACTTGAGAGACAGTATAGCAGTAATTAATATGACAGAACAAGCAGTACGTATTTAGAAGACCAGAATGACAGGCATTCCAAGCATGACCCTAGTATTACGCATTGCTATTCAGTGCAGTTGCTTAGTTCACAGGTATCAGTATATATAGTTAGTCAGGGTGAGAATCCTACCAATTAACTGCTAATACCAAAAACCTGCTGATGTTTCTCAGAATCATTACCTTACCCATTGTGTTCTTAGAAATGTATGATTTTTCCCTGTCATGTTTCCTAGCTTTTCTCCTTGTCCTTTCTTCATTGTTTAATCCTTAAGTTTTCGTGTTCCATTTAATTGTGTTACACGTTTCCCTTTTTATTTCTTCTTTTGAGTACTTCCACTAGGGACACTATGTGATATTTACACATGTGGGTCTAGTTTATTTCATTTATGAATACATCTTCAAGTGGCATCCACTTAAAAGTAAAGGCTTTGAGTATGTTATTCTTTGTAGCTGAGTAATACTCCATTGTGTAAAAATAACCACATCTTTTTCATCCATTTGTCAGGTGACAGGCATCTTGGTTGTTTCCAAAATTTGGCTATCACAAATTGTGCTGCAATAAACATAGTTGCACAAATATCACTATGATATGACATTTTCAGTTCCTCCAGAAAAATTCCCAGTAGGGAGATAACTGGTTTGAATGGGATTTCCAGTACTAGTTTTTTAAACAGTCTCCACACTGATTTCCATAATGGTTGCACCAGTCTACATTCCCACCAGCTGTGGAGAAGGGTTCCCTTTTCCCCACATCCTCTCCAACATTTGTTGTTGGTTGACTACTTGATGATAGTCATTCTTTTTGGGGTGAGATGGTATCTCAGTGTTGTTTTAATTTGCATTTCACGGATGGCTAGTGATGTGGAGCATTTTTTCATATACTTACGCACTTCTTTAATTTCGTCCTCTGAAAAGTGTGTGTTCATCTCGGATGCCCATTTCTGGACTGGGTCTTTAAATTTTGGGGCCCTAATGTTTCTTAGTTCTTTGTAAATTGTAGAGAGCAGACCTTTGACTGAGTGCTTATTAGTTAAGATTTTTCCACATTTGTGGGTTGTTGGTAATTTCTTTTGATGTGCAAAAACTTCCCAATTAGAGGAGGTCCCAGTTGTTAATTCCTTCAAGTGTTACATGTACGATTTGAATTTGTCCATGAACTATTTGCCTTCCCCTACGTCTTCAAGCGTTCCTCCCATTTTCTCTTCCAGGACATTTACTGTC